GGGGTGATGCCAGCCACACAACAGATTTGAGGGTCAGGCCCATAGGCCAAGCTGCAGCTAGTCTTATCTACTGCCCTGAGGACAGTTCCTGTATCTTGATCTGGAGAGAAACCTAGGAGGCCTGATAACTTGCAAAGCAGGCCATCAAAAACAAGGTAGACATGCCGGACCATGAGAAATAAGAGCCAGTGTGGTGTAGTGGTGAAGAGCATGGGACTGGGACTCAGACGATCTGGGTTCGAGTCCCCGCTCAGCCATGGAGCCAACTGGGTGACTTTGGGCCAGTCACAGACTCTCAGCCCAATCTACCTCACAGGGTTGTTGTTGTGGGGATAAGATGGAGGAGGAGAATGATGTAAGCTGCCTTGAGCCCTTTGAAGGAAAAAGGCAGGATATAAATCAATCAATCAATCAATCAATCAGTCAAAGCTCCAATACCAGTTAGGCAATGCATTCATTAGAAATCTTGGTTGGTCCTAACAAAGGTATTCAGCTAAGACTTGTATAAGGCTGCTAGAAACTTTACATTGCAGCATTTAGCGTAGATTTTAGGATTTAAAGGCATTAGAAACCAGGCACGGTTCAAAGCGGTTGTGTGTGTCTGGAATCTCAGAAACTACCAAAATAAAGTATTTACTGTGAGATGAGGAGCTACCTTTGTCAGGGGCTCTCTGCCTCCTCCCTGGTCCTGAGACAAAGACCTAAGCAGTGTTCTGAGATCTTTGTTTTGTGCCCTTGTGCTTGTTTGTGATGGGAGAAGGAGCGAATAAAGATTTATCCAGAAGGAGTAAATGATTAAGGAGGGAGTGTTACTGCTAATATTTGTGAGTCCATAGCCTTGAGAGCGTGGGTTGTTATGGGTTGCACCCCCTTGCCACCGCACCCTTGTTCAGTTCATAATGAAGCAGCACATTTCCAGGATTCCATACAACTTTTTGCTAGTCTTAGGCTCTCCATGTTCTCCATCTGGATTTGGGCCTGAAGGATCAGGGACAATGTGGGCACAGGGAGGCCAAGTTTTAAGCAAGCATAATTTAGGGCACCATGCCATCCTGCCCTGAAAGCAAGGTATTAATTAGCTCAACTTCCTTAAAATTGGAATTATGGCCATTATTTCAAAAGACTATTCAGACATAGGATTTAGCATATGCAGGGCTTGCTTGCTTGCTTGTTTTGGTCTTGTCCTATGGGCCTGAGTCCGGCATCTTTTTGGTACTTAGCGCTGTCCCTGATATCAGGTTAGTGCTGTGGACTGAACACAGATAGGACTTAGCAGTTTCCATACAAACTGCCCAGCACCATCCTACACACTATAAATTATTTTCGGAGAGCTAAACCTCTCTGGACTTTTGGCACTTGCCATTGATTCCATACGTGGGCGGGAGGGGGTGGCCGCTGGATGCAAGGGAAGAGCTTCTCTCCTTCTAGGAGCGCCTTTGCTTGCATCAAATGCTTTTTCTATGGGTCCGGAAAATGTCAGAAGAAGGGCACACAGAGAAAGCTGAAACGTTTGCAAAACGCAGAAGTCACTAATTGGCAGAGCAGGGCTGCATTCAGTTTTCATGAGAGAGGGTGGGGCAAGAGGGATTATTGTGTGTTTCAGCAAAGGCAAAGGTCTTTTTAAAGGATCGGCTTTAGCTCGGCGCCCTCAGCTGCTCTCGCCTCCTCCCCCCCCCCACTAGAAACATACAATTAAGCGGAGAATTATAGCCTAATTGCCCTTTCTCTGATCCATCTGCTCAGAGTGTATTGAAAACAGTCTCCAGGGCTGTTGCAGCAACCTTTTAGCCAGCGTCATCGGCTTCTGTGGCATTCCGCTTCCTTTGTGCGCAGGCCCGTTCTGGAGCCAGCAGGCCTCCAATCGCGATCATGCGTTTAGCCTTTGCAAAACAAAGCCCAAATGTTCCCCTCGTCCTCCGGAGCACCTTGCTCGCAGTCTGTGGCCTACACGCTTCCAGGGCCTCGGTGCGGGCTGCCAGCTTTTGATTTCACGCATCGTGGCACCAAGGTGGAGGCATGGGTCTGCCCTCAAAGGCAGAGGTAAGGCAGCTAGGCAGACGCGGAACTACAGGCAGAGACGGGTAGTAAACGTGTTTCGTTTGCTTAAAGGCGTAATGATCTGTGTCTTTAGAGGGAAAAAAAGCCCTGCAACTCCGGATGTTTCCCAGCTGGCATGCATAAAGACTTTGCCTCCCTAAAGATGCATAAGGTTGCACCCTAAGAATATTTCCTGCTAGGCTACTTTGGAAGCCCCCGACTACTAAGAACCACCAACGGTACTCACACTTCCCGAAGGAATCCCAAATTACAGCTCTCCTAGTAATGTGCCATGCAGCAAAGAACTCTGGGTGCAGGCAAGTCAAGTCATGCCCAGTGAAGAAGTGGGAAAAATGCTTGCTTAGCAAACACACACACTCCAGATAAGCCAGAAAAAAAGTGGGGGGGGGACCTTTGGGTCACTATACATGTACGTCATCCATAGCCACCCTCTGATCTTTGGACCCTCATAATGACGTTCGGTTGTCTGGTTTTAATAGCAGTGTAACAGTTCCTCTTTGCTGGTAGATAAGGCAAGGTCAGCTCCCACTGGGCGTATAAGGAGCAGGTGAAAGGAAAGCAAGGCTTGGTTATTCCGGTGCTATTTTTCACTTCCTTGGTGTGTTTCCATCTAGAGAGGTACTCTTCAGCCTTCTACATCCTGGTGTCCAGCACACAGTTGTAGCCTATGCAGCTATCCTACAAGAAGGATTTATCACAGGAGGTGTTTATATCACAAACAAGGGCTCCTTAGGAAGGCAGGGCCAGTGCAACCAATCACTACCCCTCCCCCCAACATGTATCTTCGCTGGGCCTGAAGCCAGCACTAACTCACCTTGCCAGCTCTGCGCACTAGAGAAATGGGTGAGCTACACAACTCTTGATGTGAGTGGCTGTTTACAGGACAGTGATGTTATCCTCCGGTTTTACCATAGGTTTGCTTACCCGGAGTTCTGCCACAGACTCCTGCTTAAAAGCATACTGGTGCCATCATCAGCATGAGAAGAGTGGGATGCTGGTGCTGATGCTAGACCAGCTCTTAGTGAATCAGTTGTGTTAAACGGTATGATTGGGTGTGGCCAGGGCGACGTGATCACACAGTCATTGAATTAGCACCAGTGCATTGAGGAGGCCCCTTAAACTGAGCCAGAAGAATCTATGCTGCTTTCCCTTCCCTAAGCGCAGAAGCACAACGTGGGCCTGCAAGTCTTTTCCATGCCTCCATTCAAAGCATTGTTTCCTCTATAATGCGAGCAAGACCGGCAGAGGTGGGTATCGGATATAAAGATCCCCGGACACAGAATCATTCCAGACTTCCCTCATCTCCAGCCCATTGTTGGCAGATGGTTTCCTAGGGTCATGGCAGAGCTATGGACAATGCAGCTTAATCCTGAAACCGGAGTTCTGTTAATGTAGCCGGCTGCATAGAAGCCGCAGCAGAGACCGCCTGGTGCAGACTGTATGGGGGAGAGGTGTTCAAGTGGAGAACAAAGGCTGGTAGGAACTGAAAGGAACCACAAGCATGAAGTAGGCAAGATTTCCTCCGTTGCTTCCAGACGAGGTTTTTTAATGTACAACTGCCAGAGATTATCTTTTTGCAACCCTCCCATGTCTTCCCACTGCTGCGTCTGCCTTTTTGCCTAGATAGAAAATTCAGTGAGGAGGGAAAGACAGAATAGCTGCCATCAACTTGTGTTGATCGAAGGCATTGGAAGCCATCCATCCAGAAGCAGCCCTTGCCCTTGTGTTATATTTTGATAATATCTTAAATAAATAAACCTAAACCGTTTTCATGTTGCAGGCTCAAGTTCAGTCCTTCCGGAGGATATGTGGCAGCTTCCACCCCAAGTCTCCTTGGTAACTTCTTGCAAATGAAAATGTGTGACATGAAGTCATATTAAGATGTTCTCTGACCTGCTTCAGTTTCCTGGATGCCACTTGCTGTGCTGGGAATATGTTGAAGTGAACAATGTTGAGCGTCTTTGACCAGAAGCTGGGAGAGAGAGTTGCTGGGAGGTGGGGGAGAATGATGTGGTCCTGGCAGGCACTATGTGGCCAGGCCTCTGACATTTCAAATCCTGTGCTGCAGGCTTAGAACGAGCGGAGCCTTCCAGTTGCCACATAGTTAAAGGAGGCGCAGCTCTGGCTGAGGCACAGGGTAGGCTCCTCCATACCAGCTTGGAGAAATAAATTCAGTTTGGGGTCCTGAACACTGACCCCAAAGCTGAGCTAGGGAAAGCCCCTCTCTTAGCTTTCCTTTGGGACCTTGCCAAGTTTGCAAGGAGTTGTCGTTATTGAGAGGTAAAGTAGGCTCACAAAAGTAGAGCACACAGGGCCTGCTTGCTATTAGCATAAATTTCACCTGGCTACTGGTTTGCGTTTGTCCTCCAAGGAGTTGGTTAATATTGTGCCAAAGGCTGGCCTCTAACAAGGCATTAAACAGCCTCTGAAGGAATCTCTGTGAACCTTCGGCTCCACGGCTGAGTGGGTCATGATGCAAGAACCTGACCTGAAATTGCACTTACCAAGAGTCATAGTCGGAGGGAATGGTGTTCCAAATCAAACTACAAAAAGGGTTTCTGGTGTATGCTTCCCTGACCCTGACTTTCTGAAACCAGCAGCAGGTGTGAGATGCTTCTCCTCCATCCCTCCTTTCTCTTGTTCTCTGCCCACAGCAAAGGAACGTGCCATTTACTGTAATGCAGGGCTGTCTAGCTTGCCAAGGTGCCACGCTTGCTCCAGGGAAGGGTGGCTCCCCAGCCAGCAGGCCCTGCAGACTCTCCAAAGTTGGGCTTGCCTACGTGGCTTCCTTGGGGCCTTTAACCAGAGCAAGAATCTCCTGTGGACCATAGTCAACAGTAATGGGCAACCTAATGGGCAGCCTGCACTGCTAGTCAGAGTGTCAAATGCACCAGGTAACACACGCTCAACACGCTCACATGGGCATTTTTCTAAATCAGAAGTCATTGTGAAGCATTCTTTATTTGCACAAAAGGAGCAAAACAGATTCAATATTAGCACACCAGTTCTAAGCCTTATTGCAAATATTGTAAACCTAAAATATCCAGAAGGGGTTGTGGGTTGCCAAGATTCACACATACGATGACTGTGAACACACCTACCGTTAACACTTTTTAAAATGGTAGCCATAGCAATGAAAATTACTCACAACCAACTGTAGAAAGGGGATAGTCTAGAAATATGTGGCCCAACTGGTTTTGAACAGCAAAATGCAACAGTTGATCTACTGACGTTATTAATGATTCATTCATGGTACGGAGATTAAAATCCCCAAGGCAGGCCACTCACAACAATTCAAAAGAAATTCCCCACAGATACTGTTGCACTAGACACCAAATAGGAATATTTGTTCCCACTGATGCAGTTAAGCCGAGACTAAAGGCTTCTCTGAACCTTCCAGTCATTTTATAAATAAAACACAGTATACATCTTTGTAACATACTCTAGAAATTTGCCTGACCAAGGATTTTGTTCTTCCTCAAAGAAGGAGCAGTGAAAAGGAGCACAAACTTCAGTGGCTTTTCTACGGGTAGGCCAGATTAGCTAGGATTCAGAAAATACCAAGGAGTGAATTTGTATAATGAGCTTCATGGAAAGGGGTGCATGTAATTTTCTTCATATTTACCCACATGTAGGGGTTTCCCCTTCACCATTTGCAAGACTGCTCGAAGAGTCAAAGGTCTTAATTATGTACGATATTCCATTGCAGTTCCTGTTTGGGGAGGGGGAGAGAAAATATAATTGCTGGCCATATTTTTGTTAAATCAGCAATATTGCATGCGAGCTAACAAGTGTAGGATGGAAACCATCTGGATCCTGTGATTTGTTAGCTTTCAGTTCCTCAAGTAAGGTCTAGGGTCTGTCTTTTGTTGCTGTTTGCTTCAGTTCCTTAGACTCCCTTGAGTTAATCTGAATGCTGGGGGAATCAGGACAGATAAAAGGAAGTGCTTCCTCAGACAGCACAGTTGAACTAGGAATTCACCACCACGAGGAGCTAAAATAGCCACCGGTCTGACTGGTTTTCGGTGGCTACTGGCTCCGATAGCTGTCTGCTACTTCTGATAGGAGAAACAGTATGCCTGTACGTACCAGTTGTTGGAGAGTAGTGTGGGAGGGCCCTGTTGTACTCGTTTCCCACTTGGGGGCTTCCTCACAGGCGCTGGTTGGCTACCTGTGCAAACAGAGTGCTTGACTAGGTCTGCCTTTAGTCTGATTCAGCTGGGCTGGTGCTGCAACATGACAGTCTATGAACACAAAAGACATTGGCTCTCAGTCACATGCAGAAATGGAAAGATCTTTGCACTGTCATTGTAGATGAGGGATTACAACCTGGAGAGTTGCTCTTTGCTAGATAAAACTGAGATAGGTTACCAGCTACAAAGGGCATACCCTGTCGATTTTCAGGGCATGTTTTAAACACTACCCTTCACTCTTAACAGGGTGGTCAGCTTGTTAGGAAACCTTCCCCATCACACAGACACACCCCGATCCAATGTCACAAGGGCTTTTGTTTTTTGTTTGTTTGTTTGCCTTACTTCCAAGATTTGTACAGCTTCGACTTGTCCTGCATCTACAGCACATGTATTGTTCTACTGCTCCTCTGCAAACCACAATTAGCTGATTACAATATGCGACAGACCAAGATGCAGTCTGACCTAGACTCGGAGGCAAGTGTGCTGAGAAAGGCAGCAGGCTCCCAAAGGAGAGAGAGACAGCCATACGGTGCCCAGGCCAAGAATGTGCTGCCTGACCAAGCCCCATCCAGATGTCTTGCACTCATTCTCATATCATGCCCTAAATGGACTGCAGCTAAGGCTGGCAACTAGAACCACTGACGGGCAGCTGCGGCATGCGGCAGGGTGTGACCCCGAACAAGACGTGGTGCCACTTCCATAAAGTTATGCCCATGGCTGCAGCCTTGTTCTTAATGTTTTCTTCACACTCATTGTCATTGTCATGAAATGGCTTGCTATAAAAGATGAAGCTCTGGGGCTGGTCAGTCATTATGGGAGTTACCATGCAAGTATATGTATTGTGTGCAAGTTGCGGGGTGGTTAGTGTATGAACTGGGCCACAACCGGTTCAATACCTGGCACCTCCAACTTGGACTGGGAAACTCATCAGAAATTCTCAAGAGGCACTGCCAGAAAGTACGTACCATTTTGAAGTAGGTGGGCCAGTGTTACAACTTTTAGAGCCCCCTTTAACCCACTTTAAGTTACCTGGTGTTGTCAACAAAGCTGTCCACCTCACTGCTCAGCCCTAAGTCTCTCCGTTGCAAGAACTCTCCATTCATTCTAATTCTGGTTACTTCTGTTGTTTAGCCTGTTCTCTGTAAGAGGTCTTTCCTTATTTCATTACTACTAAGCTTATTTGGGTGTTTTGGGGGATGTGGGTGAAGATAAAGGATCTTTCCAGTAGCCTTTGAAATTGATCAATGGTCTTTCAAATGACAGCTGTCCACATGCTTATTGACATTCTCAAATTATTCTAGAGAGTCATCTTTGCGACATCCATATTAACTCTTCTTCAGCAAGTCTTTCCCTTCTATATCAGCCTTCTCCAACCTGGTGCCCTCCACATATCTTGGATTTCAACTCCCATCAGACTCAGCCACCATGGTCTATGGCCGGGAATGCTAGGAGTTGCGGGCTGAAACTTTTGGAGGGCACCTAAAGTTGAGAAAGTTTTATATGATTGGTAATTTTAATAATAATGACACTTCAGTGCACTGAGAACAGCTTTTAAACTGACCAGCCCGTAATTTCCTGGTTCTACCCTGGATCCATTCCTCAAAAATTGGTATTATAACTGGCAAAGTTTTAAGACTTCTGAGACAGAAGCTGATTTTAGGGATATTACATGTTTAGAAGTTCAGTGGTTTCAGCATTTGAATTCTTGAAGAACTCTGGTAGATACCATCTCAACCTTACTGAATTTGTTGATAAGGTATATATTAGGAGTGAGAAACCTGTGCACCTCCCCCCATATTTTTGCTTCAAGCTCTTATTGGTCCTGGCCATCATAGCCAATGATAAGGGAAGATGGAAACTTTAGGCCAAAACATCTGGAAGGCCCCAAGTTGCCAACCCTGTTCTGCAACATCATGTGCTCCCACCATTTGCTTCAGTTCTGCAGGCACCCTTCCTGAAGAGCTCCATTCAGGCCTGGGACTCTGCTGTACACCTTCTGCAGCAAAGGCGAGTCAAAGCAGGCATCCAGCTTCTCTGCAGTCTCTTTTTCCTCTTGTAGTTTTGCTTTAACTGCCTTACCATGCAATGGTCCAGCCATTTCCGTAGGCAATCTCTGTATTTAATTTGATATTGTTGTTCTATTATTCCTACATTGCAGGGAAGCCAAGGGACTTACCATCCTCTTCGACTTCATTTTATCCTCACAACACCACCACTATGAGGTGGGTTTGACTGAGAGTGAGTGACTGGGCCAGAGTCACCCAGCAAGCTTTGTGGCCAAGTAGCGACTGGAACTCAGATCTTCCAGGTTGCCACTCCAACACTCAAAGCACCATATGCTCCTCAGAACTGTCCTTTACATCCCTTTCCTTTGCACATGTTCCTGTTCCTTTTTGTTCTCTTTGTGTGAGTAAGACCTCCATTTTTCTGGAGGAAACTGTTGTGGCCTGAGCACTGGGTCAGAATGAAAGGAAGAGATTAGGAGGTTTTGGCATTGCCACAGGAAAGACCATTGACTCTATTAGCCTCCTGTTTCTGTAAAGTCAATAGCTGCTTCTTTGTATGCATTTGCTCATCTTAAGCATTACAGTCTATTAAGAAATGGCAGTTACCCAAACAAACAGGTCTGATCAGCTGCAGAATAGCAGCTCCTCTTTCATCTTCCCCTTCCTGAAGACAGCCCATAAGCCTACAGCTGGGCAGGGAGCAGTAATTAGAAGCACATCAAGACTTGATGGTGAGCTGGAGTCAAGGGATGCCCAGCCTCCCTTCTCCATTAGCACATGACAACAGAACTGCAGAGGAACGGAAATAATTTGCTGTTACGCAGCAGTTCAGTGTTCAGACTCTTTCTCCCAAACCAAGTTAACTCTGACAGCCCTGTAAGCTAGGCCAGTATTTCAAATGGGGGAGAGGGTGCCTAAAGGCAGCTAGTGCCTTTGGAGAGGAGGCAGCATTTTCACAATCTCCTAGATCGCAGTCCATTAATAGTACAGTGCCCACTCTTAAGACAAGATAGAACATTCATCTAGTGCCCCAGGTAGTGGTGGTGGTCCGGTTTCACATTGCATTTATATTCCAGCTGACGTAGTTCCATCTAAAGTATACACGGACACTTTTCATCCAGAGGAAGATGCTCAAAGTGTTCTCACATCAGGAGCTTGTGGAACTCTATGGAGGAGGAGTAGAAATTCTGTTGCAAAAGGAACAGATGTCTTTGCCATGCCTGAAGCCTGGCTTGGCTACCATCTGCCCAGGCTGTTTGGAACGTGATGGATTATGGCAAGATGCCTCAAAGGCTGGTGAAGTCTGCTCCATTTCTTCTCTCTGAGTGCTGTTTTGCTTCCTGGTTCTTTTCATGAGTGAGTGGTATGATACGAGTCCTCTCATAACATCTCTAGTTTTTCATTGGAAAGTCATACTATGTTCTTTTCAAACTATTGACGCAATGCCTTATTTGTTTATTTATTAAAATAAATATCCTACCACACATGGAAATTTTAATAAAATCAATTTTTAAAAACCCTAAAGTAAGAGCAGAAAAACAAATGAACTAAAACAATTGACATGCAACCATAACAGAAATGACCATAATCCAAGCAGTTAAAAATCCTTTCACAGCTTCAGACCAGTTTATATGCCAAAGGCCCTCCTAAATAAAAACATGTTTTCTGCCACCAGAAGGGCAACAGGGGGGTGACTGGGCCTCCCTTGAAAGATCTTAAAAGCAGGAACAGCTCTTAAGGAAAGAATGTGTTTTTTCAAACTGCCTGGTCCCTGCTGTACAGGGCTTCTTATAGCCGATCCATTAATTTTGCCCTTTGAAGAAAAACACTGCCTTGGCTGCATGTATGCATCTCTACTCATCCAGCATATGAATGTCCCCATCACTGCTTCAGGGCGGAGCAGGTGGGTCTCTCTCAACTTAGACAGTTCCACCTTCACAGTTCCATGGAGACAGCTGGAGGTGTGGCCCTCCTTTTGCAGAGCCATCACAATTAGGTGGAAGCAGGTGCTCGGCATGCTAATAAAGTGAACCTGAGCCCACACCCTGAGAGAAGTGCTCAGGCCAGGAAAAATAAAAGATCAGAACTGGAGTGATCACTAACACGAGCTGAAGCAAAAACAAAATGCAGCAACAGAGGGTGAAGTGAACAGACTATTCAGGCATTCCAACAATAGTTTGTTTGGGATCTATACAGATGGGAAATACAAAGTAAGGAAGCACATTTCCTTTCCTTGCCCCCAGCACTTACTTTTCCTTTAAAAATTTCCAGGCAACTCTGAATAATGGAAACAAGCAACTTGAGCCAAATGTCAAAACACACAAGTAGGGAATCTTCCACTGAGCAGCAGTGAACTTCACTGAAACAATACAGCACTTTAGAGATTTGTCTTTGCTTTCTTCTTCTATAAAAATCCAACTACTTAATTAAGCTTTCCACCTTGAAACTATAGGAAAACTCTTCCCCAGCACGAGCACCCCAAGAAATAAAGCCTCGAAGCAAGCCAACTTCTGTTCCTGTTCTGCTAGGAGAATGGAGGCTGCCTCCATTTTTAACTGGCAACAGTTGGTGTCATTAATCTTATTCTAGGAACAGATTGATATAGTACATCCAGAGTTCTTTCTTGGAAGGAGTTTGTGCTGGTCTACATGCTTCTTCCTTGATAACCCTTGATTGCCCTTTGCAGGATTGTCCCCAAGTGTTTTACATTCTTCTCCAGAAAGAGTTCTGACCACTTCCACACACTGACAGGTGTCATTTTTAACGAAAATAGAGCTGCACAACTTCACTCCCAAGTGTTACTGAAGCAGGAAAACATTTGCTTCCTTGCTCTTCGTCCATTAGCTGATGCCAAGACAAAGGGTGCCAGCATTTGACCAGAAGGAAGGCTGCCACTGCAACCGAGCCAAAGCAGGGTGTGGGAAGGCAAATAAAAGTCAGCAATAACCCTGTTCCTCTTCTCTCCTCGCCCTCAACAAGTCTGGAAATGTGTTGCAGCTCACGTGCAGCTCTCCCAGTTGTCCAAAATTGCAGAAGCTATAGCTAGCCCAAAGAGAATTTAAGCAGAGGAGAAGCACACACATCCAACAGAGCAGCTGCGTTTCAGAGCAGCAACACAAGTCAGCAGAGTTCTGCATGTTGTGAGTGGAGCCGGGGGTCAGACTAGATGGTCCGGGAGACCTCTTCTGACTCACTGTTTCTATGTAAAGAAAATGCCAACAAAAGTTACTCAGCAACAGAAACTTTGCATTCCCATATGGAGGCTCTCTTAATTCCGTGTTAGTTAACCGGGAACTCCCAGACTGGAGTTCATGAGGGCTGGTCTCCCCCTGCCCATGAATACCGTCAGGGCAGGAGCTGGGGGCTCCCAAAATGTAGCAGGGCTGGCTTGCTACACTTTGACACTGCTGAAATACAGCTTGCCATCTAAGGACGTCTCCCCACCCCCATCCCCACCCCCAGTAGGGCCAGTAAGTCTAAAGTTACCAATTGTTTATCCCTTTTAAATTCGAGAGAGGAAGCCCTCGGCCCAGCAAGCCCATCCCTCTCCCTCCCAGTTCCAGCCTCTGAAAGCAATTAGAATAAAACACCCGAAGGTGAAACAGCTGGGCACCAACTGCAGGGAATGTGCAACGCAATCTCCCCACCCGCGGGTTATTCCTTGCTATGTTGACCAGTTTCCCAGCAACCACAAGGAGGAGGCCAGCATGCTCCATTTTTACAACCTCCCCCCGCCCCCGCCCCCGCCCCATTAAGGATACAATAGCGAGTTTATCCAGCAGCCAGCGCAGGCAGATATCCTGTCCTTCGCATTCTGTAACTGAACCTTCCTCCCATCCTTCCCCCCACAAGAGCAGCGACTCCTTTGTTGCTACTGGAAGTCAGAGCCCTACTTGGAAATACGACCTTGGCTTTTGTGGGTGACTGGCCCACCCTAGTCCAGCCTGGTCTTGCCGCTTTGAGCTAGTGAAAAATTGGATTCAGCACATAATGTCTTTTAAATGTTGATCTGAAAACTAGGAATGCAGGTTAACAGTTCAAGAATACTCTTACAATTCATGCAGGTCTGATAACTTTAGCTTTGATGTATCTTCTTAGAAATTTAAAGAACATTAATGCTCAAGCGATCTGTTCATGGCTGAGGTGACATTTGCTGATTCACAGCTCCGTTTCTTAACTGCTGGTGAATGTTCCTCTTAGGGCAAGTGAAACCTTGTGAAAAGCTAGCATGATGGCTTCTGTTCTACTCTTGCTTGTTTTGGGGAAGTGCTGCTCAGAGGAAGAACATCTACTTTGCACTCAACTGGTCCCAGGTTTGATCCCTTTTTGAATATTTCATAAGCCAGTCTCATGAACACTGAGTTGGGCAGAACAATGAGCCAACTTCGTGTAAAGCATCTTCTCATATAAAAGGGCTTTTCTGAGGTGGGAAAATTCACATCATGCCAATGACTTCCATCCTACATTTTGAAGTGGCACAGTGCATGAAGACAGCCGGTGAACATGCAGATCAGTCAGATCAGAATCTACCATGTTTCCCCAAAAACAAGACTGGGTCTTATATTAATTTTTGCTCCAAATGACACACTAGGGCTTATTTTCAGGTGATCTCTCATTTTTCATGTACAACCATCTACATTTATTCATTTATCCATGTACAAAGATCTACATTTATTCATGTACAAAAATCTACATTTATTCAAATAGTTATATCATCTTCTGGAACATCATAACTCTCCAAACCCCAAATTGTGTTGCAGTGGACGTACTAAATGTGTCCATCTGGCTGATGATGTTAACTGGGGCTTATTTTTGGGGTACAGCTTATATTACGAGCATTCTGAAAAATCATGCTAGGGCTTATTTTCCAGTTAGGTCTTATTTTGGGGGGAACAAAGTACCATATATACTGCTATGTATTGGAATTTTATTTGTGTAAGCTGTCCTGAGGCTCTTGCAAATGATGGCATACAAATATCGTAAATAAATAAATTAAAATAAATAAATATCCCATATACCCTACCATTTATGAATTACAGACACACATTCAAGGCCTTCCTTTAAGATAAATTAATAGAGGATGAGAAAACCAATGGCTACTAGACGTGATGACTATGTGCACCTTCCAGTTGAGAAAAATGAACAGGAGGGTGCTATTATGCTTGCCTTACTTACGGGGGCAGCTCTTGGACCACTTGGTCTTAATGAACACAAGGGAAACTGCAGGAGAACAAGGACATCTGCGCTGCTGGCGGATGCAGCCAAGAGATACTATCAAAAAAGGATAAACAATCTGCCTTTCTATATTGATATTGGTGTTTCAGGCCCAGATCAAAGGGCCAGTAATTTATCTAGTCCTCGGCTGCAAACCAGAAACCACTTAACGCAAAGTGCAAGAGAAATGTAGTTTTAGGATGCTCAGTGCATTTTTAATGTTACCAGCTTCCTGAAGCTCTCTAAAAGCCTGAAATCCCAGATTGTCAATGATGCTGGCATTTAAGCAAGACACTGACTTTGAAGGCAGGTTCTTGAAACCACTATGAGTAAAGATGATTGTCCAATTACAGCACAGGATAAGAACTTCAATACAGCTTGTTTGGCTTCTTTTTATCTCTTTCACCTTAAAATGCTGTTCACACATTGTGAAAGTAACAGAGGGGCAAAAAGAGTAAGCCCATTTTATGCCTATAAATATCAACAATAGGTGTCAAGAAAGTTTGGACACAGAAGTATTTAATTAAAATTTTAAGAGGGCATCTACAGGCTGCATCATATTATTGAGTCCTGCTTTAAGTTGTATGTAATAACTAAATATTCCCCATTTTAGTCACAGAAGTAGTATTTTGGCAATTAACTAACATAGGTAATTAGTTGGAGTTAGCCCTCTCAATTAAATAATTTGGTTTTCTCTATGGTAAGCTGTAATCAAGTACAATAACACTACTCCTTTGCTAACACAGGCCAAAGTGCTATAAACCTTCTACCTCTAGCTCTTAAAAGTAGCTGAAAAGCACATTCTAAAAATATCAGTGATAAAGGTGTACATCCCTGTGACAGGAACTTGCAAACCATTCACTGAGCCACTGAAAGAGCATTCAGTTCCCTCTAAAACCTTAAGAAAAATGTAGTATTTTAAAATACCATTGTCAGCTACAGCCACATAAACACCCTGGTGACATTATAAAGAACTATAGGGTTAAACCCAGAATTCAAACGTGTGACAGGTCTTTCTCCCTCTTTTGTCCTTGCACCATCTAAACATCTGCTAATTTTTTAGCTGACCAGAGTGTATTTCAAAGAAGTCTAAGGGCTTCTAGGGACAGTTATCTCCCTCCTGATTTTTCTGACAGATGTTTCCATTGGTGGAACACCTCAGACTACAGTCTTGACAGTAATATGTTCATGTCCTTTACACCGAGTCTTGAGCTAAGTCTCATGTGAGTTTCAAGTCATTGCAAGAAATTTAAGTCAAGTTTCAAGTCCCTTAAGTCTCAACAGCCAACTTTAACAGAAAAAAACTGGAGGTGGTGGTGTTGTAACCACCCCCCTCCAGTTCCCATCTGCATCTCTCTCTGTGATGCATTGAAGTCCTTTACTTCATGATTTACTGAAACAAATAAAATCCCTATCCTGCCCCTGCTCCTTTGAAGTGCCCTCCCTCCCACCATTTCTGCTGTGTTCAGGCCTGTCTTCCAGGATAGCCTGCCACATGGTAAGGCCTGGAGCACCTTGGTCATAAAAAATGTAGAAATCTAGAGTTGAGTCACTTGTTTATTGCTCCCAAGTCCACGTTGCACAACTTGAGTCCCCAACACTGCAATCTCAAGTCTCTGGAGTCCAGGAAATGGGTTTATTGTCTGTTCTGGATAAGATTTCACATCCTTTGAAAGACCAGGTTCCTTGTTTGGGTGAACTCCTAGATCCATCACTGTCGCTGAACTCATGGTGGCTTTAAGTGCCTTTGACCAGCTCTGAGTCACATGCCAGCTGCAGCCTCTTATGGACAGGGATAGCTGGGCCACAGTGACACAGGCACCCGTGAGCTCACAACTAGACTACTGTGATGTGTTCTATAGGGGGGTGCCCTTAAGGCTCAGCAGCTGCCTCTTTTCAACCTAGAACTCCTTTGTTGAGGGAGCTGCACTTACCGCCATGCCAAATTTAAGGATCTGTTACTGCTGCTTAAAGCCCTAAGCAACTTAGGACCAGGATACTAGAGTCCTTTCTCCCTTTCCAACCTAGAGGGTCATGAAGGTGAACAGATGAAGCACTCTTGGTGGGTCTGCAAGGACCTATGACCGGGTTGAAAACCTTCCAGAATAGAGCCTTTGGTTAGCTCCCTAGATGGAACTCTGAGCCTCTGGGTATCAGGCAGGCATCAACATTGTTTTGTTTCTGATTTAATTCAACATGCCTTCCCCAACTGAAGAGTCATGTTTTTTTCTGGTATTACTACTGAGACGCTAGTGTAGGGATGGTTTATAAAAGCTTTCAAAATAAATATGTGAACAAACGAAAATCTTGTGTTATTCCATTTATCTTTGTTGTTTACTGCTCCAGAATCTGGTTAGATATGGTATGGAACAGTATATGAATATGGTAAAGAAAATGTTTACACAAATTCAATTTAAAATATCTGAATTGTTGTAACACTTCATGCCAGTCTTTAGAAAGTTTGCACTGCTTTACACAGAAATGTTTTGCAGAAAAATTATCAATGTATTTTTGGTACTTACCTTACTGGAGTTTACCTTCCCAGCAGAGCTACTTTCAATCTCCAGAAGCAATGTTGCTTCTAAAACAGTTAAGTTTCAAGGCATCTGACAGTTACTAGTACAATCTGCCAGGTGTTAAAGGCTTGCCATTTAAAACACAATTTCTGTGATCATCAACACTATCACTCACTAGCCTTGCAACTGAAGAAGCAGATCTCAAGAGGTGCTGCAAGTTTTTATTTTTGAGAACAGCTTTTAAAAAGGGATTAAATTCAGAAGCCTCAGCAAATGTAGTTTTAGAATCTTTAAAACAGATCTTCAAAGCAAATGAGCTACTTCCCACATTTCCAAGATTCATAATTAACCAATTTTAAGAACTCTGTTTATTCCACTTCACAGGCAGATCAGTGCATCTCAAACCAATTAAGACTATAAATGGAGTTTCTACTACTGTAAGATGCAATGCCCCATAAATTGAGACACCAATGAAAACTCTCTCTCAAGCAGGGATGGAGAATTTGTGGCCCCCTATGCATCCTTGAACTAACACCTCTCATCATCCCTCACCCTTGGCTGTACTGACTAGGGCACAAGCCAGTTGCAGTCCAACATCTGGAAAGCCATGATTCACATCCCTTTCCAAATGAAGGTACTAATTAACTAATTTGCTTGGACACAATTCTAGGCAGCAAGAGGGGAATCAAATGTAGCATACCATGTAGCAGGTCAAAGTAAAGGTGGAAAGAATTAAATAGCAAATTAGAATGTTCATGCACAAAAGCAAAAATGGACACCATTTTGTATGATAATACATTTGAGCCATAATGACAATTTGTTTCTTCCAACAAAATTTCATATTCTCTCATTCATATATATATATATATATATATATATATATATATATATATATGAGAGAGAGAGAGAGAGAGAGAGAGAGAGAGAGAGAGAGAGAGAGAGAGAGAGAGAGAGAGACACTGAAAAAGTGTAACTGTTGTTTAAAATAGGGTACTGTGGAGAGTAAGAATCTAAAAGCAGGGTAAGAGCAGCAGAGTATAGTTGTATCAGACAATACCATTTCAGTACTAAGCAAGTTTACAAGGACAAATGAAGCTTTAAGACACCTCAGTTCACAATGAATGGGTTTTCATTAACCATATGCTTAGCAGTCCAGAAGTATCAGATACAAACTCTGAACTTAAAAGTTCTGGCGACCCTAACATCCCATTATACAAGCTAAAGCAAGCACATTGTAATTCTAACTACTGCACAAACATATGCATACAGGTTGTCTATAAAGAAAAACACAAAGAGTCTTGAAGCACCTTAAAAATAATACATTTTATTATGGAAAAAGCCTTCATGGACTACAGCCCACTTCAGGTGCATGGAACGCAACAGGTGAACTGGGTTCTACTCCACAAAAGGTTTACATCCAACTTTGCACAAATGGATCTGCTTGCAGAAAGGAACATTCCCTTCCTTTCTTCCCCCCAGCAGCCCCACATCTGCTCTGGCTGCTTCCCCAACACTACAGAACAGGTTTTGGAAGTACATAGGGGTATAACTTCCCCATTCCACTGATAGCTTTCTGGCAGCAAAGACACACTTTATTTCATCCGAACATGGTCTTTAAGGTGCCACAAGAATCAATGACTCAGCAGACTAACATATTGCTAATCCTCTGTAAATGAAAGAATGGTAACAACATGGTCTTGATATGAACGGTTAAGGAATAATGTGGCTGTGGCTATGTTTTTAATGGAAATAGGTATTTCTGCTATATTTGTTGAATTTTTAAAAAGATGCTTAAGGAAACTGTAAGCTTGGTGCCACATATTTCCAAGATAGTCAGACAAATCTATCATTTTTATAATTACCAGTTGATTCCTAGCAAAATGTGGTAGCGTGGGTACAATTAAATTTGATAGTGGATTAATTCATCATTCTGTTATTTGCTGATATTTGTTTCAGACAAATAACTACTTGATAGCAACTACATGACCAGCAGTAGCTCTCTAAAATGGCAGTTTTATCAGCACACTTCCTTTTCAGGATACTTGATGAAAGAAACATGGTTAATAAGGCTATGACTTTCAGCCAGTGAGGTCAGCTTGTTAATGGACTAAAAATCCTCAGATCTCCTAAACAGATACCTACAATTATTTGGCCAGTTCAAGTTAGTTTTTTCTTATAAAAACTGTTGATAGCATTCACCCCTTCTACATAAAGAGAATGGTTAAAAGATTACCTGCACAAACACATGTCTTCACAGGCATAATTTTAGAGGAGGCATCTTAAAAGTATTCTTCAAAAAATTAACAATAGACACCTTGTGCCAACTTAAGTTAGTAGAGGTTATACTATTAGAGTAAAAGCCCTTCAATTAGGTTATAGCCTTAGTTAAACATTCAACTTGAATGCCAACTTACGAGTAATTTGGAAACATTTTTGTAAAATCAAGAATGACCTAATGAAAGATGCATAAGCAAAAACCATTTTGCCAGTATTAACTTCTCTAGTTGTATGGCCAGCCTGACAGCCCTCATTAAACACAACAAAGCAAGTAGATTTGGCCTAAAGCAGGGATTCAGGTACTGTAAAAAAATGTTAAGGGTTGCCTCCACATAGCTGGAAATAACCGAGAGGGTTAGAGGACAACGTGCTTTTTCACCTCCCAATGCCCTATCAGCTGTTCTACCTGTTGCTCATCTTTCACTAGTATGGCTTAACTTTCTTTCACAGTTGAATGTACAATAAGCTATGCCTGGTCTCTGAACTGCCCATCCTTCAAAATTCAGAAAGCTTCTGCTCAGTTTCAGGTTACGAAAGAAAGTGAAGATTACATTTATTACAGATACAAAATCTGAGTAAGTGCTGGAAGCATCAAAGGTTCCTTTTAAAAGAATGAAACACACCTGAGCTAATTTGCACATAATACTCCCCAAACCGTGAATGATGGCAGACTCTGTATCTTGAAAATGTCCTCTGGGAATGTATTTGCATGGCTAAAATCTATTATTTACTGTCCCACAGTAAAATATGCATTGCAACCCGTACCCATTATATAGTTCTAAAAGTCATAAAAACCATGTACACAATAGGCATCTGGCAGCATTTTCAGACAACTTTTTAAATTTATTCTGACATGCTATAAAGGAATAAGTTACACTGTTAGACGAATCACCAGCAGCAGAAGATCTTTCAGCTGGATTAAAGTGAGAAGGATAGCCTAAGGCAGTAACCAATAACCAATGTGAACACTGCACACCAAGAGGCTCCTCAGAACAAGAGTAGATCTGGTCATATCCACTTCACAAGAACGTGAAAGAAAAGTTTCTTTTTAAAACCCTTTGCATGCTCCCATTTTAAACCTGCAAGGCTAGTTTTGCAAGTCAGTCCAGCCAATGCAAGATAACAGCAAGACTTGTGAGCTGCTGTGATGGGTCTGAAAATGCCTTTATTTTTGTTCAGTCTCTTGTTACAGCGGGCTGGGTATCAATGCAACAGATTATAAAAATGCAAGAGTGCCCCTCCCCATCAAGAAAAAAAATACAAAATTTATTTAAAAACAAAAGTGAGGAAGAGTTACAACACTAGATCTAAAATGATTAAGAAATAGGACTTTTGCTTTAACAAATGGCCTTGTAGTTGCCTATTTTAAAAAAGGGTGGTGTCTAATTTAGATTGCAAATTATCAAGGCAAATTAAAAAAAACTTATATTCTTACAGAAACAGTTTAGTTTTAATGAACTTGTAAACAGAAAAGCTCCCATTTCAAAATAAAAACAAAATCCCAGATCATATAGATGTTTACAGTGATTACATTTATCTAAGCAACTTACATACAGTTTCAGTTGTAAGATGTTAACTAAATTTGTGACAAATATGCTGTTTCTCCTTTTATACCAAGAACATTATAGAGTTAATGCAGAGTCCTAAAGATAATCTAGTAGTCGCTAAGTTTCTCTTAAGTCTTCACTTTAGATGCTGTTACTTCTAGCACAGGTAAGCAGGCAGAGTCTTTCATATGCTTAAAAACTGGAATCTTTGGTTACTACCATGTCAGCTGGCTTGTATGTCACTCAGACACCAGCAATTTTAAGAATGTTTTAAGTGTACAACTTTCAAAAGTAGGGAGGAATACCCAGAAAGAGTGCACAATTGTGAGCATTTACATTTATCACAACTGTTCCTGAAGACTTGTTCATGCCATTCTTCCAAAACAATGAGATCTCATAAGCAGTGTAGTTCAAAGTAAAAAGGTTACAAAAATTGGCATATGCACAATTCTCTCCACCACTTGTGTGTCAACCATTCAGTTAACTTTTCCACTTGAAAAAATGCAATAGAAAACTGGACACCATGTTCAACTATCTCAGTAATATTCACAATTACAGCTGCTACAACTCAAAAGTGCAGCATCAAAGGCGCTGCCCAGAGCCAGTTTATACCGAAATTAAGTTCTTTACATCAAGTAGATGGTTGCCCACAACCACTGGCAAGTGTGTTTATGAACTAAAATTCCTAGGATTGGGGAGTGATACATCCTGCTCCATTCTGCTCTGCTTCATCTGTCCTCTTCTTCATGTTCAAAAACCTGGAAAGCAAACAAAACACTTTGATATTTGGAAATAAAGAACCAATGGAGTGGGAGGCTTTAAACAAGCAGTTATGACCATCTTTTGAAAAAATGCTACCCCATTCACAGTTAAGACTTATTTCCAAGCTTGTTGGTACTTAATAGGAGCTTATCATAGGATAGCAGCTTTCCCCAAGGTAATCGTGTCCTATTTGTGCAACAAGAGAAAGGCATGCAAGAATCCTTTCTTTTCTCTCAAGGTAAAACCATTATTAACCATCAGCCTCAACAACTCATTAGTGCTTATAATACCACAAACAGTTCAAATGCCATTACTGAAATATGTATTAAAGAATTATCATTTATGCCAGGACTACCAACCATACCAACCGTTAGATATTTTTATCTGTCTATTAGCAAGTTACATTTAAATATATTGGCATATTACAATGTCAATTATCTTCACTCAAAGTGAAGACTTTGAGTTTAGACCAACCGTCACTGTAAAATTCAAAGTAGTCCCCCTTATATCTCCTTACCAAAAAGTAATCTGAAAACAAGTAAATACATCCATCCTTTAGATTAAAAAAACAAAGCAACTACACCTTGAAATTCTAATTCATGCATAGCACCACACTGTAGCTCATTTATTCTAAACTGAGATTATTATTACATTGCAATTCTATCCTGGCTTTTTTTCTTCTTGCAAGGAATGCAACATGGCTTATATTTTATCCTCACAACAGTCCTGTGAGGTAAGTTAATCTGAGAGTGACTGGCCCTAAGTCACCCAGGGAGCCACAAATTGGACCCCCAGTTCCACACTATCTAGCATAGTGATTTACTAAACTGAATTAAAATTCTTTGGGAGCTTCCAAAAGGAATCTATTAAATCTACTAGAGATCCCAAGTATGGGCTAATGTCGCAGAGCTTATAGATTGAAATACTAAATCTCAATATATTGAGGCAGGACATCAAGAGTAGAAAGTTCATTAAAATAATTTTAGAGGTAAGTAATATCTAGGAAGCAACCATATTCTAGATAACAATCACCCTTCATCCATGAGACAGCCAGAGCTGCTACTTTTATTGCTGTTCACCAATCAAACAGCATTCATCTATGGGCCAGCTGTGAAGGTAAAAGCTTCATAAATAAAACAGTTTATATAAAAGGAAAGAGATAGTGTGCTTGATAAAACCTTGTCCAGAGCCTGCAAACAGGAGTGACTGCAAGTCAGAGAGAGAGAGAGCCAAGTATCGACAGGTGGGAAGAGTACGGAGGGGAGGGGGGAGAGACCAGGCTAACAAGACACAAAGAATAAATCTGATCAGCAGCAGGCTCCTAAAGGTCTAACTGAGGGTGGGGCAGAGATTCTTGAAGGAAGCAGGAACTTCACAAAAGGCCCAGGCCTACTGAGCACTTTATGCTGCGAGAAACTAAGGTCTGAGAGGGCTTTATTGTACATTAGTCAGGAAAAGCCAGACATCCTACATTATGAGTAATTAAATAGCCCCTCAAATTTTGCAATTTTGGTTAATTGTTCTAAATTCCTATTTAGAACAATATAGGTTTTATTGTTTTTTACTCAGAGGTAACTAATTAGAATAATTCTCAACCTAGTTGCTTTAAAAAGCAAAACAATACCTTTCAGTAACCTCTGCATTCTTTCTCTTCCATGCAGAAACACTAACATTCATAGACTTCTCCTTCTAATTGCACCTTTGCTTCCTCTTTTAGTTTCCAACACCAGCAAACCAGTATCAAAATCATGTGTTCTGATGACTCACCATTTGTATTCCACCTTGCTTTATAGGCAGAGAAGCAGCTGTTGAAGAAACTTCTCATCAGTAGAACTTGGCAAGGACATGAACTGGACAAGTACAGAACCATCCAGAAAAGTACCACTGACTGGAAACTTTTGGCAAGGTTGGCTCCCTCAGCTGGAAACCATTGCAAATCTGTTCTCTCCAGTGCTGTTATATGCAGACTTTGAACCGTTCAGAGATTGATTTTAACCCTATCATTTTCTACAAATCAGTAGGAATTTTAAGAAATTAAGTAACCCTATGCATGTTTCAGCAAGAAAAAGTCTTAAAACCCCAGTGCAGCTGGCTGGGCAATGCTAGGAACTGCAGAACTTAATTTCTAATTAGCACTGCATCCTACCTTTGTTGCTTTGGTTATTTCTGTGCCTAGTCACAGGTGTAGCTAGTAACTAAAAGCAAATATATGTACTAATATTTGAAGAAAAATAATTTTGTTCCTTGAAATCAGTTATCAGAACTCACATGGATATCAGAGGTACAAGATGAACGACAGTATCACTTGTACAGTTCAGTTACAAAAACCTGTCCTGGATTTACATTCTGCAGCTACTGATTTTATGCTACTACATAGGCATTTTATATATGCACTGCCGTTTCTCATCTTCACTCAAACTGGAAAAACTGTATAAGCACAGTGGTGTCAAAGCAAAAACAAAGTGAAGTAATAAACAACCCACCCCCAGCAACCCCTCCAAAACAACTTCAGTTTTTAATTACAAGTTTCAATTAATAGCATAATGATGACATCAATTGACCAACTGGATTTATGCTTGAAATTACTTAGCCCCTTGACAATTCTGTAATTCATTTTTTTTAAAGTCCCCAAAATTAAACAGGAGCCAATAACCTTATCCTTTCTTGCTTTGACAAACAGTTAACATTCCTTGAACCTGGCTTTGTATACAATGGAATCAACATTATATACCACGTCCAATACATACAATGCAAGTACAAAGTTAAATATGGCAGAAAATACCATTGTCTCCAGAACAGAACTTTTCAAAACTGAACAGAGTTTGGAAGATTTTCAGTTGACAGAATCCTTTGTTTTAAGCAAGTTACAATTTCCCAAAAAGTTTGGTTTGTATACAAGCTCCAGGATTTTAACAACATTGATAACTTTACAACATAACTATTATCATTCTACTTGCCCGCCAACCCCTTGCAGACTGTCATTACCAATATGAAACACAAAATTAACCCTAATAAGAAGGATCAAAGCAGCAGGCAGCACCATGTTTATGCCCTACTAATGGTTCATTGTCATTGGCATGTATTTTATTAATTCAAAGCTGAATGATTAAATAAGACACCATGAAAGCTCTTGGATAAACACTGCATATGCTACGCATTACTAGGCCCTGTACTAGTAATCAAATGTCTGCACTCTCAACTTTCATCATAACCTCCCCCCCAATATTTATATCCAGAAGTCTCCCTTTTCTCACAAATAGAAAAGCTGACTAATACAGAAGTATTGAAGGAAGAGAAAACAGTATGTTGCAACTTTGAAAAACTTTTAATTGCTTTCTTAATGTATTCCAGGCACAGCCTTGCTGTTGTTTTTCCTGCACTTGATATTACTCAAGGAGTAGTGCACATACTAGTTTCTTTCCAACCATGCAGTAATGTCAAATGCATCTCTTGAATACTATATCAGAGTGGCAAAGTTCCGTATAGGCATTCAACCTGCTCATGTGGGGAAGAGACATGGCCACACTAGCAAAGCCTTCCCCCAACTCCGTCTGCTCAATCTCTAACCTTCCCATGTTGAGTGCAAGGATCTGAAGGGGCATCTTTTGCATTCACTTGAATTTAAGTAGGCACATTTACCTGGCTGGGAAAGGATGATTTCTTGTGCACTCAGGTTCAAGCAAAAAAACCTTTCAAGCTTTCCCTCTCAACATGGTATGGTTAAGGACTGAATAGGCAGAAGCTGATGCTGGGTTGACACTTGCATGCCCATCCATTTTCCTTTCTCTACTTCTAACATTTACATGAGCAAGCTAAATGTATACACAGAGCTGAAATCTCCTGCGTTTCATCTGATGTTCTCCAATTGATTAAAACAAGCTTTTTAAGCAGTTTCTTTTTATGCTAAACAAAAAGTACTGCTCAGATATCATAAGCGCTACATGTTAACAGTGAGAATCAATGTGGCATAGTGGTAAAACTGCTGAACCAAGATTTGAGAGATCTGTGTTCTAGTCCCTACTCAGCAATGTAACTGACCGGTAACCTTGGGCCAGTCAATAGCTTCAAGCTAACACTATATTACAAGGCGGCTGTGAGGATAAAATGGAATCATGTAATCCACCATGGAGTCCTTGGAAGAAAAAAGGAATATAACTGGAATAACAATACACATTACACTGTCTCTTTCTAATTTAGAGTGCCTTTGTGTAACACATTCTGGGCATAGGATATACCATTTATTAAACTCGCTTTTTCAGAGATGAATTAGCCACTTTCAAATCAGGTCAGACTGGTTAGCACAGAGGGCCTGAAAAGGGCTGAACACAAACACTGTATCCAGGATCTTGTATCTAGGTTACTGATATCCCTGTAGACAAAAGACCTTTTGTTTGGAAAACCACTTCTGCATGTTTCCATGACCATCTTGTCTAACTACCTTCAGACCATTTATGTACTGAACCAAACTAAATATTAGAAAAAAAAAAATAAAACTACATTCTCCTTCAAAGGTACGGACATTATTAGGTCAGCCCCCATTCCCCCTCCAGATACCATCCATTACTATTACAAGAAAGATGTTTCCCAGATGGAACTAGTTCACAGTGGTCTTTCAACTTGAGATATCCAAGAATCCCTTCCCTATGTGACAAATCAGTGTAATAAATACATTTCATGTAATACATTTTACTTGAACTAAATGTTACACTTAATATAGCGATAATACATTTCACACAATGTAAACAACCTATACATTCATTAACTTTTTACTAGTTAGTAACCAGATAATACTAACTTTACTGGATACATAATATAAAATAGCAAATAATATGAAAATTTATACTTCATTTTAATGACTTGGATGTGCTTGTCTTTTTGTCACAAAGAAAATCAAAATCTGGTGTTAATGATGAAAATGGTAAGTGCATTTCTGGTTCCGCATCAATTTTATTCCTGAATTTTGTTTTCATTACTGCATACACAGAAGAAGCCTTTT